TGATATAAAACAGATGGCCTGGTCTCATTCAGGGCAAAGCAGAGTTAATGTAAGCTGATAGAGGAATGGAGCCGAAAGAAATGGCAGAGCTTCAGTTTTATTGTCTTCTATTTGATTCCCAGCTAGCAGTGATAATGAAGAAGGCTGTTGTTCCATTGCAGCTAGATGGAAGTTTGAAGAGCCGTAACGATGCGCAAAGGGAGAGTAAGCAGGAGATTGCTGCTGTGGGCCACTGCTTGGTGTAGTTGTCTAAGATACCAAAGTGTGGTCTAACAAAAACAGGCCTACTGGAACCTGGAGAAGACCTGGAAAAGGCTATTTCCTACATTAATTCCAGTGCCAGCTTAAAACAGGCAGAAGGAGAAATTAAAGACAGATCCCTCTCACCTTTGCTGGTTAAAGGTGAAAACTCTATTCAGTGATCCATTACATATATCATTATAGACATACACAACAAAATGCTGCTTTCTGTTGTCTCAGCTCTTGATGGATCTACTGAGGACCATGCTTTCATCCGTCCTCTATGGGGAATACTGAACAGGGTCAAAACCCAGTGTTTTGATGGTGCTGTTAAGAAAATGTTTCAGAACATACCTTCCAGACTGAAAGCATTGTCTGCCTCATAGTACTGAAGTCACAGAAAAATAAGACGAAGCAAAGTGAGTTATCCTGCAGCCAGTGCATTGCAAAAGATAACTGCAGTTGTGCTTCAGCTAAAGTAAGTGATTAAACATCTGTTTTAGGACACTTCTTTCAGGGCTAAAAGATCAGGCTTTCTAAATTACTGCTTCTTTAATTTGAAACTTAATTCCTGCTTGTCCCCAGAGCTGTTTTGGCGTTAAGGTGTAATTTTTTTGCAAATCATTTATGTTCATATGGGTAAGAAAATTAATTTAACAGAGATGGCTGGTTAACATAATAAGCAACATAATAATACAAGTATTGACATCCCGGGGAGCAGAAATTCCTGGGACAGGTGCAGAACTGCTATTTGTTTAGAGGTTTTTTTTTTTTTTTTAATGAGAGTAATGGAGCATGCTAGAGTTTTGGCCTCAGTCAACAGTCCATGACAAGTCAATGCTCTATATACAGAATCCGTCAACATATTTCAAGAAAGGCTACCCTTAGAAATTTAGAAATTCACTGCTTCCAAAAAAGAGACATTATTTTGCTGATAGATCGGAAATGACTGAGTCATGCCAGAACATAAGTCAGGGTGCATTATTGGGATTTTTCACCTTCGAATGAAAACATTCAGTGCTCTTCTTTGCGTTGGATTGATAGAAAAACTCTCATCAGCTTCAACCTTTCTAAAGATGAACTAGGGCTTTTCCAACTCTGCTCCCTTGAGCAGGGTTCTTGAATTATGCTTTAAAATTACTCTTGAGAAATTACTACATGTTTTACAGTGGTGGAATTTGACAAAAGTGACTGGATCGTATCAAATACTGATACAGCAGAGAGTCTGACTCTGCAAGCTTTCCGTGCAGCTGAACTTTCACTGCATTTTATAGGAGTTTTGCATCAGAAAGTCTCTGGCCCTGAACAGAATGAGAGTCTTGGAAGAGAAGTGGGTAAGATGATATTACATCTCCTTGCTCCAAGACATTAAGCTATCTTGCACAGTTCCTAGACACTTTGCATCACTGCCCCTTTCACTGCTCCATGTAAAAAGGAAAGGAAGAAATAAGTACAAATAGTGTCCTGTTTAAAAGCAATTAACTGCTTACTTGCTGAAATAAATATCTTTTCCTCCTTCCCCTTGCTGGTGAAACTTGTCCACAAAGAATTTAATTTAGTGTTGCATTATTATTCATATAGAAAACATAGGGTTTTCTTGTGATATTTTTCTCACTTCTAAATATTTTCATGTATTGTTATTATGGCAATACATGAGGATTGAGCTGTATGAATTTATTTTCATGAATCAATGTTCTGAGAAAAAAAATTATATAATCATAGGAAAATTGAACTTAGGTTTACAAATGCACAAGGAAAAAAGCTAAGTCTTGGCTCATCCTGTTTAAAAAAATGATACATTTACAAAAAAATAGCATTTAATTTAAAAATTTAAAAACCTTTAGAATTGATATACGTGCAATGTATTTTGTTTACATTTTTTCTTGAGAAACCTTGCTCAGTTACAGGCTTGTCGAAGAGATGAAAGACTGTGCTTTTTCCTTCACAAATATCCGGGGTTACTGTATTACCTCATAGCTGCTCAGTAAAATCACTGAACCACTCAGCCGCGTCATCAGTTGGGATAGCAAGGAGCACAAAGAAAGGGAAAAGATGCAGCATTGCAGGCCATATCAGTGGATTGACTTCCCGGTGAAATCCTTTCTCGCCAAGACTGATGCTTTTCAGTGTTACACAGAAATATTTGAAGCTTTGAGAATCAAGTTTTTATTCTTAAAAGACATTATTACACTCATCGTGTTCATTTTAATAATATCGTTGTTTAGGAACAGATACTGTTTTGCAAAATGTCTACTGTTGAATGATTTTTTTTGATGCTATTTTGTACTAAAGTGACTGTAAGATTTATTGTTTTGTTGAATTAAGGGTCTTTAATAATGAATGTAGTCGGTCAGGAAGACTGCCAGATGGCATGTAAACTTGTCTGCAACTCCAAAATTCCTGCCTGCAGTTGTGGCTGTTGGGAAATGGGCACTTTTCAAAGCCCTTTTGCTCTAATGGAAAGGAAGCACAGTAATTGCATTGTAAATCTGAGGCACCCAGAAGAAACTGAAAATATTCAGTTGAATTCTGCCTACTAAGGTAGAAATGCTGCAATCAAAGTGAAGTTAAAAATTGCAGTTGCTCTTCAGAATTTGGTACATGGAATTATACTTCTCTCTATAGTTAGAATATTGACAGGTTTTTTTTGTAGCACTTGCCAAAGTGAGCTTATGCCCAGCACTGAATTAGATCAGTGAGAATTCCTTGAGGAAAATTAACAATTACATATGATATGTTAAAAAAAAAAAAAAGAATTTTAGCATGCATATTTCTGATACTGCTTTATCAGCTTGTCAATCAAACCTGAGTATTATTCTGCATACTAGTCTGTTGGATACAGACACCTCTGAAATCCATGTTTTTTGTGCATGCGAAGTTTCACTTCATTTGCTCTTGAGAAGAAAATGTTGATATTTTACTAAAAAAGGCGAAAGGTGTATCTTTGACCTACAGAGTCAAATATAAAAAGTATATGGAAGGGCAGCTTATGTATCTGCTCTATTTAAACAATCTTACTGATCAGAGAGCCAAAGTTCATCAAGCATAGAATTGTTGGAAACCTCCTTTAAAGAAATAACAGCTTTTCGTGGGGAGCAGAGAGGAGAACTGAGATTTATGCTTCCATTTCATTTAATCCCTAATCCATCCAGTGGTTTACAGCTGTTCAAGAGTATGTAACGTTTCGCACCACTTTAAACCACAATTAAACATTATTTATCATTTTTTAAAATCTGTAATACCTTCTAAGGAATGATTCATGGATGGCGGATTCCATAATTCTTTATCATGTAGACTGTTAACTTTGAAATCATTTGAATTAATCTACTTCAACAATAGATAAATTTTAAAGGAAAATTGATGCCAGAGACTTCACTGAAACTATGTCAAGACATGAAATTAGGGGAGGGGGAGTGATATTGGCAGAAAAATTAAACATTGCAGGTAAGAAAATCTACAGGCTTTATTTATTAAAAAATCATTTAAGTTGCTTGTTCCTGTTCTTTCTTTAGCACTACATTGAATAGATGTTGCTATTAAAATGATTGTCTCCCAAAAAGAGTCATCATCCTGTTGGTCACACATACAGTGCCCATACTTCAAATTCAGCATTGCTGTGTCAGATTTTAAAGATCTCCATTATTTTTCCCTTTCTGATGTCAGGACCTAAAATCTCCTTTATATATTACCCATTCCACTTAGATCCCTTAACATCTAGTTTCTTTTGTAAGTATAAATCTATGAAAATATGTGTGCATATTATCTGAAATACATTTTATCATGTACTGCATACCATAAATACATCAATCTCTGCATAGGATGATTTATGCTGATTCAGAAGTACCTAATCAGTATTTTGTTTGTTTATTTTTCAGTTTATGAACTATTTTAAACTACAGCAACCAAAAAAAGAGTAATCTCAAAAGGCAATACCTAAATTGGAATATATTAGCACGAAAAAAAGGTAGAAGCTAACCATATAAATAATGGAAAATTGTGCTTTATGGATACACTATATATACATATTTTGTATACATATTAGTGAAAAATAAATCATTTATCTGTGAGGAAGATTCTGGCTGTAAACCAAGAGATTTGGTCCATGGCTTCACTCAGCCACACTAGGCCAGTGTGATCTTGGGTAGCCAGTTCTCTGTGAACCTCAGCTGTCTTTATGCAAAATGGGAATGATTTTATAGTTTGTAAAATCCGGTGATGATTACTAGTTGCTTAAATATTACAACAATGTGGTGAGTATGCACATTATGGTCCCTTTCCGAAGGATAAAATATGTATACATTTCACATTTCCCAGGTTTAGCTGAGTACTTTTATTTTAGCAGTACTTTTCACTGCTAGGTGAATAGATAGTAAAAAAAATCTGAGGAGATGTGTGCACTCATGGAATAGAATGTCCTCTTTCACGTGAATCCTCATGTCAAGTGGAAACTATTGGACACATCTCTTCACAAAGCATTTTTCAAGTTTTTTTTTATAAATGAATTGGATAAATAAAGTTTGAAAAAGGCAACAGTTGGAAATAGAAATAATATTTATTTTTTTTAAAAAAACTCTTGTATCGGAATGATACTAACACAAATATTCTCGAATATTTTTACCTATTTTTGTACAAGTAACTGTAGATATTTTCTTCCAGATTTATGAGTTGTTCCGTTACCTATTGATTCTACAGAGGAAGTACAGAGGAGTCCCCCAAAAGATTTAATACTGTGTTCATCCAGTTTTTCTCTCTTGTTGCAGAGGATCTTGATGATCTAAGAATGGAAGGAGTAACAAGTGTGATGTCTTCTGGGAGCAAATTCAATCAAACTCGAAGCACTCATCCTGCTGAGCCTCAAGCAAAGGTCACATTGAATATCTGCGCAAGATGTGCCAGGTAACAAGTGAAACCAGATCATGCTAGCCAGTACATTCTTTTTCCCAGGTTTCCAGATATGCATTTGGCTTAGTTATGGGCCAAGTGATGACCTCTCCTGTGCTGAAAGAGAATTACTTAGCTACTGGCTACCCTGTGACCTTTGGCAACTGGGTCATGCAATTTATGTTTATGCTTGATATGTCGCATCAGCAATGAGTCAAAGAATATAGCTAGTTGGAGGTCTTACTTCACAGCTTGAAACTATTTTAAGCTTTTCTGTCTCTGAATTTCATTACTTATTTGAACTTCGGTGGCTTTTTAAGGGATGAATCAGGGAATTTAAAGGTTCAAATCCAATTTAAAAAGCACCTGTACAAATGGAGATTTAGTTGCACAGGTGCAGTTCAGGATTTCATATAGTTGCTTCTTAGCACTTCATAATCTCATCCTGTTTCACCTCTGAGAAAGAATTTAATGAGATTGAACCCCTTTTGGTTTTGGCAGCTGGAAATAATTCTTGCATTTACAGTAGGAGGGCCAAATAAACAGGGTGGTATTCCTGTAGCCAAGTCAACTTGAGAATGCAACACTAACAGAAACCTCTTAGATTTCTTAGATGCATTCTTCTATGTAGACAAAAGCTCATTTGGAAGAAGGATTTAAGCCTGTTTAAATGACAAAACTAGCCTTCTCACCCTTCCTTAATAGTACAGATTAGAAAGAACAATACAGAGGCATGCCAATTTTATCTGTCTGCCTTTGCCAATGGCTGCTCCATTGTGTAGTTTGAGAGGGGATTAGCTGCTTGTAAATAAAAAGCAACCTGTGGTGAAATTAAGTCAAATTTGGCTATATGCCACTCTACGTTTTTTTTTTCCATTTTACTTAAAAATCACAACTCTTTAAAGGCACTTATGTAGGAACAGAGACTTGAAAACAGTTTCTAATGCTCCGAGAGCATAACTACAGGCATGCTGCATCCTGCATCCTTTTAGTGAAGTTATGATGGCTCAGGAGAGCGATCTGCTGCTACTCTAGTAGCAACCTCTTAGCTGGGTTATGATGCCTCTGAAGACTTCAGTTCACAGTACTGAAAGAGCAGTAATGACTGGACTGCCTTGTAAATTCTAGGGACTTTCGCTGCTAGCAGTGTGGCCTGATCTTTAAGAAAAGAGCAGGCATACTAGTCGTGGGATCCTACCCCATTCACAAGAAGCAAATTGCTTATGTTGTAAAACATTTCTAAACAACTAGGTACATGAAAGTTTCGCACCTTTTTTTTTTTTTTTTTCCCCACTGGCATTCATTGCCCATGGATTAACAAGTAGCAAGGTAAGGAAAAGGAGTTTTTTAGTTTTCTACATGCTCTTTTTCGAACAGGTCTAAAATGTTGCTTGGGTTACTATAAAAGTTAATTAAATTCTAAGTAAGTTCCCTGAAGTAGTCACTAACAGCAGGTACCAAGACACTCTATATCCATTCAGTCCTGCACACCAGGGAATAACGGGCTCAGATCTTGAGCCAAAGCTAGTAGCCTTGGCTATCGCTATTGTTCTATAACTGGCTGTTCTACATGACTCAGAAGTTTAAAATATGAGTTGTGAGAGAAAGATTTCATAAAATCCTTCTTTCACACTTCACTCTAATGCTAAGAGAAGGCAAGGCAGTACTTTTTTTCGCCTATACACCTTTATTTCATTCCCTACTTTATTTAGTGAAGTTAGTAAGGAAATGGATGATCTCCTCTTGACTGTGTTACGTTACTCTTTAAACTTCTGAGGAAATCAAAAATGTACCATCTCAGCAATAACAAGAGAAGCCTGAAGAGAGAAGTGGGAATTACTGTTATACACAATGATGAGGAAACCGTTAATGTGAATGATGAAGAATGTTAATTCTTCAAGTTTATTGATTCTTCTGGAGCTTTCATTCGTTCATGTTCTATTTGAGGCCTTTCCCTTCTTAGTTCAAGATATAGCTCTTAGTGTGCTTAGCTATGTCTTTTTGTATGTCAACAGGCATTTTGTCCAGCATCTTCTACCTGCAGCAGCTAAAGTAGTGGCTAGAGAGTGTTGTATGAAGCAAATGGCTCCAAGGGCACGTAGACTTTTTTTTTCCCCCAAGTGCTATTCAATATTCTGTTACTCAGTTTAATAACCAATGGAAATTATGTATTTTGAAACTGCAGGCTGAATATTTGTCTCAAATTTTTGAAGGTTACTCAATGTTTGCATTCGTCTCTTTCGTTATTTATGACAAAGCCTACCATTTATCTTACAGTCAGAAAGAATCTATTGGTGTATTTATTGGTTTGTTTATATTACTGGACCTGGGCTGAGGTTTAAAAATGCTATTTTTATTTTCTCCTGTTTTCATTTCTAAATAGTATTTGTCAATTTGCATGCTTGCTGTACTGTTTGTATATAAATTCCATGGGATTTGAATGTAGGCAGATTTTAATGTCACAGAATCACAGAATTCCAGAATGGTTGAGGTTGGAAGGGACCTCTAGAGATCATCTAGTCCAACCCCCCTGCTCCAGCAGGGACACCTAGAGCACGTGGCACAGGGTGGCATCCAGGCGGGTTTGGAAGATCTCCAGAGAAGGAGACTCCACAACCTCTCTGGGCAGCCTGTTCCAGGGCTCTGTCACACTCATAGGAAAGAAATTGTTAATATGATTTAAAAAGAAGTAGAAGTCAGTAAGGATTGGTGATTCTTTTTGGTACAATTTAACAGGTGTGTTTCCTCCTGAGTTTTTGTTGTTGTTATATAAAGCAAATGAGCTGCTATTAATGGCAGTGGCTGTTCTGTAGGTAATATGGCTTGTCAAATCAGGTTGCTTTTACTGCGGATATTCTGTCTTTCTCTAGGGGGAGTATGACTTTTTACCTAAAATTTGACTGGCAGAGTTTCAAATGGTAGGAAATTTATTTCTTGGCTCAGAAAGAGATGTAATTTTACTCATGGAATTGCATAATATAGTTATTTCAGCTTGCTATATACATTTTTTTTAAGTAAGTGCTCTACTCTGATTCTGCTCTCCAGCCAAATCACCTCCAGCCAATGGTTCCTCTTCCAGAGGTCATTTCTTTGGACATTGTGGGGCCCTTCTGAGAGGATTTCATTTTAATGTTTGAAGGATTCCCCACTAGCAGTTTTCACTAGTCTTTCATATAATTATGAAAGTCTCTTTAGTCTCACTTGGAAAGGATAAATAGTCTTATGAAAATTACATCCTAATTATTCATTAAAATCCTGTGTAACTTTTATCATGTGTATATTTCTTTTTTTCTTTTTTTTTTTCAAAGATCATTGTAGCTCCCACCTTATCTGAGTAATAGAGAGAACTAGTCTGTGGTTATATATAGGCTTCTTTAGGCTGGGAAGAGTATGGTGGTTTAATTCTGTATGTCCACTGAGAGCACCTGGAATAGAGTTAGGTGCAATAGAACATCTTGTCTCTTCTGTAGCTTCCTATCAATGAGCTAAATATCAGGATACACTCTTTGTGAGAATAGTGGTCTAGATGGACTGTTTCCCTCATGCTGTATTCATCTGATTTTATTTAGCTCCTTCTTAGTATAAGGGAACCTACTCTTATACTCCTCAAACATGAGAAAATCAGGGCACAAATCCTAAAATTTAATGATAATATTAGCAGCTGCTAGATCCCTCTTTCTCTATCAGTACTGCTTTATTTCTTCCATAGTAACTGGCATTTAGTTTATGCTACTGCTAAATGTTCTGTGTAGCTGGTTTCCTGTGATTTTCACTAAACCGTTATAATACATCTTCCCTTAGAACTCACCTGATGCAAGTGTTTGATACAGTGTCAGAGGAAGATCTTCAAAGGAGGAATGAAAATATGAATGAAAATAGTTTTAGATTTAAATCCATTTTGTTACTACTATTACGTTTCAGATAGAAGCACCTATATTGTTTTTTTAGAAACTGGTATCTAGTTTTGAATGCTGATAATTTCACCAGTCCTCTTCAAATAATGAATAGAAATATCAGGGCCCAGGCCAGTATTTTTAATAAAGGTAAAGTTCTGCCCCCAGACATTTAGATGTAGGACTCTCCCAAGCTATCGCACCAAGCTGTTTTGTACAGCTTATGATTAAAAAAATAATGAGACAGAAAAGAGAAATAAAAGGAGTGATTAATTCTCCTGGAACATAAAGAGGTTGTTGACTGGAATATAGCTGTAAGAAACAGAGAGCTTACTGTTTTCTGTGTAGATGTTTCACACACGGTGAGTGAAATGCAGATGGATAACAGCTTTAAGAGGTTTTTCAAATGGGAAAGTAGCTACAGAACAATGTTATTCCCATAGCTACTCTTGGACTACAGTGCAAGTTAAGCAGCATATTAAGTCATCTAAATAAAAGGGTGACATCATTCTCAAGGTGGAACAAAACAAGGTTCATAGATTACAGAGAAAAAGGGGGCTATACAAATAGCTGTATTAAGAAGGTTTACTTTTTACAGTTTAGTCAGGAAATGTATCAAAGGCAATTTTAGTGCAACAAAACTGGGCTAGATCGCTTTTGAGTAAAGTATTTGCAATAAAAATTCCATTTTCATTTAAGGGCATAACTATCCTGAATGATTTGGAGAACAGATAACTGATTCTATAGCATGATTTTGTGAATCCTTTCTCATATACAGGCAAAGCATATGAATTTCAGGTTTGGCTCGTGAGCCATAATAAGACACCTTCACACACAAGCAAAGCTCATATGGGTTAAATAAAGTCCAAATGACAGTATGTAAAAACAGACAACATTTTTTTTGTCACTTATATATTGAAAATTTTGCAAGAGTTTTGTCAATTATAAGATAAAATTAATGTATTATTGCCATTTGAGTGAATTTAAGGCCTTTTTTTTTTTTTTTTTGAAAGACCACCCATTAGCCTTGTATGCCCACTGCCATGCTCAAAAGTTAAATCTTGTTCTCGTGGAGTCTTGCCAATGCATTCCTGGAAGTAAGAAGCTTTTTGTTTTTAGTAG